TCAGCACAGAATATCTCTTTCACTATGATTATGAGTTCGAGAAACATTTTCATCGCTGCTGGTAAGTTAAGTCAGTTTTCTAATGAGTTTACTGTTTGATCTGCGTGCTGGCCATATTCTGTGTATATATAACTGACGAACGGAACAGCGTTATGCTTAATTGTAGTTACTTCCCACCGTACCACCAGAACAAGTTAATTTTTTGCAAGCTTGTTCACAACTTCGCGCAGCATTTTATACCGTTTTAAGCAATCAATCACTCGCATGCGCCTTTCATCTTTCAGTAGCAATATCATTTTGCGATAAGTTGCTTCTCAGTAATCAACTGACGATTCGCCGGCAGCAGCACTCGGATTAAAGAGCTTGCCTGAGCAGCTGATAGTGAATCATCCGCTCTCATTCTTCAATTAAGCACAGTTGTAATATCATTAACAACGCCTCAGTGATGAGCATGCTTGATACAGAACGAACATTGGTCGTTGTACATCGATCATTCTGCAGAAAACTCGTCATCTTTCGAATAATGATATCGTTTCGAAATTTCAGATTTCATCACAACATCCAGATCGCACGTCATATGCAGCTGACGTACATGGCTAATATTAGGCCTAAAAAGATGTACATTTTCATACCGCTCATTGTAACGATGTTGCTTCGGCAAAAAAAAATATTTGGTGCTTCAAGTGATTAAATATTGTGGAGCATTCACCTGCTCCAATGGCACTCCCAGCAGTTAGGAGCAAGGAAGCAGTAAAATATTACGTCATCTGGCTATGAACATGCCTAGCACATATTAGCACACTCCGATATACGAAACCTAGCTTTGCGTCGCTTTATGAAAGCATTAAATGAGCACCGATTCTGGAAATACTAGTACTAATTAGTAAAGCATTGTTCTAATCGACAGACTAATGCTAGGTGATCCAGCTCTGCAGATTCCTAGGCAATGTGATCGGTGAACGGCTTCCATGCTTCGCTTGGAGCATTCAGAACGATAGAATATTGTTCAAGTTACAATTAGGAGCAAAAAGTTCATGTTGTACGCTCAAGCCTCAAAGCAGTGATGCGTTCATAATGGCCATATGACGCTTGGTGTGTTTGTTTCGATCATCACCTGAAACCATTTTTATAAATAGAGCCTCTCTGTTTCTCATACTCGATTTATTCACTTTCAAATCTTTTGCTTTTGCTTCCCGGTTATTGCATTATGGAAAAAATTTTCCTCACTTATATCTCTATCCAACTTATTCCCCAATGTTGCTTGTTGGCTTCCTGGTCGACTTTACCGTGATTCAACTGCAACACAAAAATCTCGTGAGTTGCAATAAATATTTAATTCTGAACCGTTTTATGTAATGATACCATTTTTCGACTTCCAGTTCTCGACCTCCACATTTCCGGTAAAGAACAGTTCATCCCATGCATGATCCTCCCATATAGCCGTATTTATGCATCGACGCCAAGCATGCTCCATCTATCTCGTACCTGTTTCAAAACCGCCCATTGTGTTCATTAACACTTACCTCTCCGAGATAAGGCATAGGCGCATGTTTCTGGAAAGAACTACTTGTTTTTTAGACAAAATGGGAACAAATTGCCATTGGCACTGAGACTCGAAAGCTTTCAGCATTGGCGCTGTTCTCCGCCAAAACTTCGTTCTGCCCCTTCTCCTGTTTGTGTTGTACATAGATAGAATAGTGAAGCTTAGCCAAGGCGATGAATGTGTC